AAATTACCTTCAAATCAACATTCAAAAATGGATATGGAATGTACTAATGATATTTATCTCAATGTTTCATAACTTCTAGTATAGAAACAAGTATGTAAGTTCTACTTTTCCGTATGGCTCTCGTCCATTAAACAGACAATTTCCGAAACTACTAGACTGAATGTTGTGAATTCTAGGAAATTTTAAGGACATATTACGTTTATCTAGATTTCGATTAAGTATTAGAACAAACATTTAAGATTAAAATATATATATATTATATTACAACAACAAAAAATTGGATGTTCTGAAACGTTGCATTCGCTATAAGGTTATTGTGGACATGGTGAATCGTTAATCATATTTCATCTATTCATCTCTTCCAAAAACCTGATGACGTCATCTCAACATTTTGTTAAATAATTCTTGCTTAAAACATATTATATTTTTACATATACTTGGTACCGTGAAAAACCAAAATTCGAAAGCAAATTTTACTGTTTTTCTCAGATTTTTACGAAACGATTCTTGTTGCAATTTTCTCAGTGTCGTTATTGATTGTTTTAAATTGTTGAAAAATCCAATTTTAAATGCAATATTGTTTGCACTTTAGCAACAAATGTTTGTTTTTTTTAATTATTTATACAAATTTTTTTATTTAAATATTTATGGTTAATTCTGAAAAACAGTAGACGTTTCATGGCCTTCTACAGTACGCTTCCGCTTGTCGACTGTCTGTTGTCTGTAGCCTGTGTGCTGTCGTCTATGTTGAAATTTATTAGTCAAATCTACCAAAATCAAATGCTCTCAAAATTTATATAACAGACAGACAGACGAGTGACTACATTTTTCGTACTCTTGGGATCATGAAACATCGAGAAAACATAAAAGTGCCCGTTCGTCGGATGGATTCGATTAATATACTTCCTTAAAAAGTCGACCTCAGGTTATCTAGACCGAACTTCCCTCGTCCCTGGAGCAAAGTACGACCTCTGTAAGTGAAAATCAGGACATGTACAGCATTAAACTAAAAGTAGATTTTTTGAGGTTTCGATTTCCCAACTTTTGATTTCTCAATTTTTCGATATTTCAGTTCTGGGATTTTTTCATTTTTGGATATCTCAATGTTTCGAATTTTCGATTTTTAAACTTTTAATTTCTCAATGTTTCGATATTCCAACTCTGGGATTTTTCAGTTTTTCTTATTCTTTAATGTTTCGATTTTTAAATTTTTTGATACCTACTTCAATTTTGAGACTTTTTAATTTTTCGATTTAATTTCTCAATTTTCATATATTCGATTTCTAGATTTTTTTATATGTTGGGTTCTCTGTTTTCAGACCTTTATTTATCCGGGCGTTTCTAATGTTTTGATGTTTTGATTTTTGATTTTTCAAACTTTCGATTTACGGATTTATCAATTTTTCAATATTTCAGTTTTGGAAATTTTCAGTATTTCGATTCTTCAATTTTTCGATTTACTATATTTTAGATTTTTCGATTTTTTGGTGTTCCAATTTTTCGATTTTTCAACTTTTGATTTCTCAATTTTTCGATATTTTACTTCTGAGATTTTTCCATTTTTGGATATCTCAATGTTTCGAATTTTCGAATTTTCAACTTTTAATTTCTCAATGTTTCGATTTTCCAACTCTGGGATTTTTCAGTTTTTTTTTTGGTTTCGATTTTTCAATTTTTTGATACTCCAGTTTTGAAACTTTTTAATTTTTCGTTTCAATTTCAGAATTTTTATATTTCCGATTTGGGTTCTCTATTTTCAGATCTTTATTTATCCGGGCGTTTCTAATGTTTTAATGTTTCGATTTTTGGTTTTTCAAACTTTCGATTTACGGATTTATCAATTGTTCGATATTTCAGTTTTAGGAATTTTCAGTACTTCGATTCTTCAATTTTTCGATTTATTAAATTTTAGATTTTTAGATATTTTAATGTTTCAATTTGTCCGTTTTTCAATTCTTCAATTTTTCGAGTTTTCAGTTCATCTATTTTTCGGCTTCACGGTTTTATATTTTCGAATTTTCAATTTTTCACCATTTCAGTTTTTATAATTATTCTTCAATATTTCGATTTCTTAAATTTTCGGTTTCTCTTTTTTTTTATTTTTCAGTTTTCCAATCTTTTAGACTCCAATATTTTCGATTTTTCAAATTCTCGACTTCCCTAGATCTCGGTTTTTCAGTTTTCAAAATTTTTCGATTTTCTTTTCATTTCAATTTTGGGAATTTGTCACTTTTTGAATTTTCCAATTTTTTGATATTCTAATTTTTCGATTTTCCAAATTTTATATTTTTCGGTTCGTTGATTTGCCGTTTAAGGAAAAAACTCAAGGCGAATTTGTACACCACAAGTTTAGGAGTATATTTTTGAATAACAATTAAGTCATTTTAAAATACATTTCTTTGAAATAACGTCATCAAATGTTGGTGGGGTTAATTAATTAACCAAATTTTGGTTAGAGCTAATACCATCTACATGATATTCCTAATATACACACAAAATTTGACAACAATCAGTGCAGTAGTTTCGGAGATGACGTGTCCAATCAAAATCGCTAGAAACGCCAGACAAACGAGTGACTACTTTTTTCGTACTCCTGGGGTCATGAAACGTCGAGAAAAAATAAAAGTGTCCAATCATCCGATGGATTCGATTAATAGACTTCCCTTGCCCCTGAAGCAAAGTCCACGATATCTTTTCAAAAAAATGGTGAAATTTGATTTTGCGAATTTTATTTTTTTTTACGCAGTATAGTGTAAATCGTAAAACTCTTAGCAAAATTTGCCTAATCATCACAAATTAACGACGTTGCCTCAATATTTTGCATGGTAATTGCTATTTAAATTTTATAACATAACACACTCCTGCATTTGTGATTTATGAATCCATCTTGATTGTTTCTCAAAAAAACTCCAAATTGTATAATAAACATTTTATAATAATTTTAGAGGGACTCGTGGCTTCGATCCCCGCATAGATCACTTTTGTTTTACTTATACTGGAAATGGTACTATCTATACTACTTCAGGAGCGTTAATGAAGGATCTGTTATAAAAGGGTCCATTAGGTGATTGGTTACTTTCATGTTTTCTTGACGTTCAATACTCTTAGAGTAGGAAAAAACTGATCTCTAATTTCTATCTGACTGTCGTCTGTCGTTTGTGTGGATTTTTTTTAGATCGATAATTTCCGAAACTACTAGACCGATTGTTGCCATATTTTATACGTAGATATTTTAGGAGTATCGCGCAGATGTTAAAACGCTAACCAAAGTTTGCCGAATAGTCCCCACTAACAATTTTGTTAAGTTTATCAAAATGTTCTAAAATAATATTCTCATGTACTTGTGGTTTATGAATATACCGTGATTTTTATTATTATTGTTATTATTTTGTATAATCCGTTTTGGTCTTTAGACGCGTCCAATTCGCAGATGAAAAATCCGTGAATCAAAATCGGAATCGAGCTCCAGTTTTTTTTATCAAATCAAGAACTTATTTCTATCCTATTTTCCCGAAAACTCGAGAATACAGTTCTGTCATTATTAGTATTGCAATGAGCCTGTTCAAAGTGATATAAGTGTCCTTGCTAAAATGTTGATCACCTCATAACCAAATTTTGTTATGGAAAACTTACTTGAAACATACGCATAACGAGTGTACAATTAGAAAAAAAATGAAATTCTGAGAATCAAATTTTAAAAATTTTCGAGGCAGCTGTATTTGCTCGATTTTACTTCAGGAGCAAGGAAAGTCCTGTTCAAATCACCTTGGACCAACTTTTCTACTCTAAAAAAATAATGATAAAAGAGATAACATTTCATAAAGTAAAATATTATCATTTCTCAGAAAATCTGGACTTGTAGGACTGTCCAAAGGTGAGCAAGATTCTGTCTAAAGAATCTTCGCATTTTCAGAAAGAATAACAGAACTCGAAAAATCGGAACTCACTTCTAAATTTAACGCTTTATCGAAATTTTTCTGTAAAATCAAAATGAAAATCAACACGAGCACTTTCGAAAAAAGAAATAAAATTATTCTTAGCTGCTTTAAACTCACCCATAAACATCCCGAGCCATATTTAAGCGAAGTTTGAACCTCATAATTTTCGTAAATTTTCAGTTGCTCGAATTTTTGCATTTTCACAACTCCGAGAATACGAGAATACAACTTTCCCGTTTCCCTGTCTGTGTAACGATATTCTAATAAATTTTAAAATACAGGATGTTCTTATTGTATAGAACAGTTTACAGACCACCAGTTTATTAAATGGTCAGTTATTACAACGCTATTCACGGATTTCTACAAATTTCTCTTTCCTACTACCAAAATTCAACTAATAATTTATATAGAAAATAAATAAATAATATGTGTTAAATGAGTATTTTAAAAGCAAATATATTTAATTTTTGTTAAACGATTAATAACATCTGAATGAGCGAAAATAAAAAATTCTTTATGAGCAATTGAGTGAACTACATTGTAATTTTTTGTTTACTTTCACTTAACGCGTGTTATTGTAACCTTTTCATATCGATTTTATTATTAATGATTTTTATTATGTTAGCAGGTACATGACTTTTATAAATATTATTGCTTGATTAACTTTTCGTAGAAAAAGTAAAACAATAATACGTTCATTTTATATACTGAATTATATCTGTCATAAATAAATACCCTAAAAGTAATTTTCTTAAAAAATATATATACAAATATGCTAGTTAGTTAATTGACTTCATTTAGGATCAATTTGGCCAATCTATTTTTTTGCGTAAAAATGGCGGAGGCGACGGGTTGAAATAAAATTAAAAAATGTATTTCTTTTGGGACGGATTTCCTTTCGCCGGTTTGTGTTAATCATTAAAAAATGACCCAACTCTAGGGATTTCGTTTGATTGGAGGCGGCAGAGCCGCCACCACTGCCGTCGGTCTCTTAATCATGTGTAAAACAGCAGGATCTTAATAAGTATCCTGTCCGCGCTGTAATTGTCGTATTATTTCCAGGTCCGGCGTTTTGGGGCTTGATAAATCCGGAATGGTCACTGTGCAACAAGGGAAGGAGGCAGTCCCCGGTTAATCTAGAGCCGAATAAGCTGCTCTTCGACCCAAACCTTCGACCCCTTCACATCGATAAACACAGGGTAAGAAGCTTACTGCTTACGTGTCCCGCCTGCGCTCCCAGACATGTGTTCACTTCTCCAACTGACGACTACGCAGAGTTTGTCACGAGATGGGTTTCAGGATTAGACGCATTACAGCAATGAAATGCTTTTAACAACGATTTACACTAAATCAGACAAACTGGAGGTTGCGAGGGCAATAATCTAACCCACGATAATAATGAAGTTTATTGTGCACGACAAATTTGTTCTGAATATCATACGGGGCGGTTTGATCGTAATTTGAGATGCGGGGAAGTTTGTTTGAGGTAGTAATTAGCAAGCTCAACTAGGTGTATGCAGACGCTGAAGTGCTGGCTCTTTCAGAAAGAAACTAATTAGCGAGGATGTAAGGATAATTTTATTAATTCTATTATTGCAGTTGCGTGTTCATTAGACTCTGTGATTCCATCAGCGCACTTCTACAATGAAGCTCACCGACAAAAGGTGTAACAACTTGTTATTTGTTTTAACGCTGCAGCCGCAATGTCGTTAAACTGATCGGTTTTAAGCTCCATTGTATTAAGATCTCAGTGTACAGAGTGGTGATAAAGTAACACATCTCGCAATCCCTGCAAATAACGCACAAAACGCTAAACTAAACTATTTAATTCAACAATAATTTCTTAACAAAACATGCGAATTTCAGTTAATATTTATATAAACTGTGCTTATTTTCACAGAACCAAAATATAAATCATTTCATATTTGCACCAGGTGATTTTTTTGATTTTTTATCTAGTTACGTAAGAATTTGTTGATAGGACGAATTTAGCCGAAAAATAGGTCATAGTTTTTAAATAAAAAAAATCATCAGCGGATTAACAACGGTTTATTTTATGAGAATGTGTTTTTAGGTGAGTTTCACTAGGTGTTCTTCATTTCATGGTTGTAACATACTTACTTTTATTAATTATTTTTTATTTATTTACACATAAAAATTTTTGCGTATTTGCGATATAAGGTACTTATTTCTTTCACTCAACTTCTAATTTTTTTTTCTATCTACCGCAACGCCGAATTAAGTTTCCCCCTGCAACCTCAAAGCAATGGCGATTACAAAACTTTAATAATTCTACCCGTTCTCAAGGTATAAGGCCGCAGAATTTCACCTGCGACATCCACGGGAAATTCATATTGCCAAAACCACTTGTAAAAGCAAATAGTAACTAAATATACAGGGTGACGCACTAAGCACGCTCCTCGATATCTCATTAATTATTAGAAATAGAAAAAAAAACGTCAAAGACCAAAGTTATAGAGTTCTTTGAAGACTATTCTAAAATTATTAACTATTCAGAGGTTTCTGTTTCTAAGGCGTAACACACGACTTAGTTTTTTAAATCAAACACCCTATATATTTTAAGACATTTTGATTAACCTCTTCTTAGAGTTTGTCACGTTATTCCAATGTTTTTGACATTTTCTGACGATGAAAAAGTTTAAAAAAAGCAATAAGACTATTTTTAAAGTATGTATCATCAAAATCAAATTTTAATATACACACTAGGGTGATTCAAAAAAAAAAAATAATTTTTTTTTTCGTGTCAAAGAGGTTCAAAAGTTTCTTTTCAACGTAAAAAAATACCAGTTAAAAGTTGAGCTCTTAATATTAATATTAAGACCGTCCGCATCGCGTTTTTCTATTTCCCATAAGAATAACATGGGAAAATTTTTGTTTGCACCTTCTGATTTTTATTGCTAGCCCGTCGTGTGTCGTGAAAAAAATTCAATCACATATTTTTATAGAGAATTGAACGCTCTACAAAAAGTGTCTCCTATGATTTTGCGAGAAACCTGACTATGATTTTTTAACCCACTGATGCTGAAAATGTTCGGAAAGAGTTTTACTGGCCTTATTATAGCATAAAATTATAAACAATTACTGTTTAAAAAACTAAATTTAAAATGTGTATAAATTTTTGTGGTGATTTATTCCAATAAGACCATCAAATTTATTGTAATGCATCAAAAACGTCAAAATTTGGATAAATTTAACTTTAGCCTACAATAACTCTTCAACTATCAGGTTTCTCGCACAATCATAGGAGACACTTTTTGTAGAGCGTTCAATTCTCTATAAAAATATGTGATTGAATTTTTTTCACGACACACGACGGGCTAGCAATAAAAATCAGAAGGTGCAAACAAAAATTTTCCCATGTTATTCTTATGGGAAATAGAAAAACGCGATGCGGACGGTCTTAATATTAATATTAAGAGCTCAAATTTTAACTGGTATTTTTTTACGTTGAAAAGAAACTTTTGAACCTCTTTGCACGAAAAAAAAATTATTTTTTTTTTTTTTTAATCACCCTAATACACACTATTTATGAAAAATCTAAAACTGTACAATTTTCAAATGTCGATATTTCCGTTTATTTAAATGGAACAATGTATTCTATTAGTACATTTTACTCTATTTTTTATCTTCATTATTTTTCGAATATATCGATGCGTCTCTTAAAAAATAAAAAATATGAAATTCAAATATAGAAAATCCTCAGCAAAAAAGAAACACCACCAACTCAACGGTTAATTGTTATAACAAATGAAATTTTTTTATAAAACAAATTAAATGTGGAGTTAAAGGAAAATTGCTCTTATATTCTCTAGACTTTTCTCGATTTCTCTTAAATTCTTTGAAGTTCTTTGGCTTCTTTCGATTTCTTGCGTTTTTCGCGTTCTTCTGATTATTTGGGTTGCTTGGATTCGTAGCTTTTCTCGCACTATCTTGGGTTCACTCGTATTATTTCAGATTCCGTCAGATTTTCTGGGATTCTCTATGATTCTTTCAGATTCTCGTAGATTCTCGTGGAATTTAGCTGGATTCTCTCCAATATTCTCGGAATATGGTCCGATTCTCCCATATTCTCCGCATTCCTTCGCATTATTTTCGTTTTCTTTCGAGTTCTCTCTGATCTCCGATTTTTTCAGATTTTCTCGGATTATTTTTAATTGTTATCGGATTCTCTTAGATTTACTTGGATTCTTCCGCATTCTTCCAAATTCTCACGGTTCCTTTCAGATTCTTTGGGATTCTTCCGACATTGCTTAAATTCTCTCAAATCCTTTGAAATTTTGCCGGATTTTCTCGGATTGTCTCAGATTTTTTCGGATTTGTTAGGAATCTTTCTGGTGCTCTCGAAATTTAGTCGGATTCTTTTCTAATTCTTTTCGTATTGTTTCGGTTCCTATCGCAATTTCTCTAATTCTCTCGGTTTCTTCCGGATTATTACAGAATTTGTGCGATCCTTTGGAAATTTCACCAAATTCTCTCATATTCTCTCGTAATATTTCGGATCCTTTTCGTATTCTTTCAAATTTTTTCGAATTGTTGTTAAGATTCACTTGGAGTCACTTAGATTGTTTCAGATCCTTCTGAATTTTCGCGGATTTTCCTCAGATTTTTTCGGATTCTTTCGACAATTCCCGAATTCTGTCAGATTCTTTGGAATTTGGCCGAATTCTCTCGGATTCTTTTGGATTTTGTTGGAATTTCTTGGATTCCCTCAATTTATTTTGGATTCTCCTAAATTTTCTCCGATTCTTTCGGACTTTGGTCGGATTCTTTCATATTTTCTCCCATTCCTCTGGATTCTTTTCAGATTCTTTCGGATCTCGGATTTTTTCCGATTCTCTCTTATTCTTTCGAAATCTTTGCGTATTCTTCCGAAGTTTCGTGGATTTTTCTCAAATTTTTTCGGATTCACACAGATCTCTCAACAATTCTCCAATTCTCTCAGATTCTTTGGAATTTGGCCGAACCCTCTCGGATTCTCTAGGATTCTGTCGGATTCTTTCGGATCTCGGATTTTTCCCGATTCTCTCGTATTCTTTGGAAATCTTTGCGTATTCTTCGAATTCTTGTACAATTCTTTTAGGTTCACTTGGATTCTTTCGGATTTTTCCGAATTTTCAAGGATTTTTCTCAAATTTTTTCAGATTGACACGGATTTTCTCGACATTTCTCGAATTCTCTCAGATTCTTTGGATTTGGCCCAACTCTCTCGTATTCTCTAGGATTCTATCGGATACATACAGATTTTTTCTGATTGTTTTCATTTTCTTTTCGCAATCTGTCGGATTTTTTCTGATTCGTTTGGATTCTGTCGGAATTTCTCAGATTCTCTCAATTTCCTTCTGATTCTGCCAGATTCTTTCCGCTTCTTTGATCGGATTTTCTCATATTTTTTCCTGCGCATCTAGATTCTTTCGAATCTCGGATTTTTCCTGATTCTCTGGTATTCTTTCGGTATATTTGCGTATTTTTTCGAATTGTTGTAGGATTCTCTTGGGCTCACTTGGATTCTTTCGGATCTATCCGAATTTTCGAGGATTTTTCTCAGATTTTTTTCTGATTCACCCGAATTCTTTCGACAGTTCTCGAATTCTCTCGGATTCTCTAGGATTCTTTCGAATTCGTCCAGATTTTTTATGATTCATTTCATATTTTTTCTGAATCTGTCGGATTCTTCTGATTCTTTTAGATTTTGTCGGAATTTTTCGAATTCTCTCAATTTCTTTGGGATTTTGCTAAACTATTCTCCTGGATTTTTTTCGGATTCTTTCGGAACTCGGATTTTTCCAGATTCTCTCGTATTCTTTCGGAATCTTTGCGTATTCTTTCCAATTGTTGTAGAATTCTTTTGGGTTCACTTGGATTCTTTCGGATTTTCCAATTTTCAACAAATTCTCTCAGATTCTTTGGAATTTGGCCAAACTCTCTAGGATTCTATAGAATTATATCGGATTCGTCCAGATTTTTTCTGATTCTTTTAATATTTTTTCGGAATCTGTCGGATTTTTTCTTGATTCTTTCGAATTTTGTCGGCATTTCTCGGATTCTCTCAATGTCTTTAGAATTCCACTAGATTTTGTCCGATTCTTTCGGAATTTGGTCGGATTCTGTCATGTTTTCTCCTATTTTTTTAGATTCTTTTCGGATTCTTTCGGATTCTTTCGGATCTAAAATTTTTTACGATTCTCTCGTATTTTTGTGGATTCACACTCATTCTTACGGATTCTCTCGAATTCTTTTAGCTTCTTTGAAAATGTTTTTCTATCCTTAGAATTTTTTGCGTTTTTAGCGTTCTTCCAATTCTTTGGGTTTCTTGGATTCCCAAGACTCCTTGGTTTCTCCCGCATTATCTCGGATTTTCTCATATTCTCTCGATTCTGTCCAATTTTCTCAAATCTTTTTATATCTTCTCCCATATTATCTCATGTTCATATCGAATTCTTTTGGATTCTGTCGGACTTTCTCGGATTCACCCAGATTCTTTCAGATTCTTCAAAATTCTCTTGGACTTTCTCGAATTGTCTTGGTTTCGTTACGCTCTCTCGGAATTTGCTGCAATTCTCTCATATTTTATCATATTCATTCACATTTTTACCGTATTCTTCCGGATTCTTTGTATATTCTGAATTCTCGCGGATTGTTCTGGATATTCTGGAATTCTCTAGGACGCTAAAATATACTAAAGTTCTAAGTTCTAGAAAAATGATTAGAATATTCCTTACGTCAATTTGAGGTTCAGTTACAAAACCAAAATATCGATTTAGGAAGATATATAAAAAAAAACGAGAAAAATTAGCCACTGTGGTCAGATTCATCCTAAACAATTTTTAAGTTTTTTGTTATAATATGAAATGAAGAAAACAATGAATAAAGACAAGATCCCCCAAAATTATTTTGAATAATGAAAGTCCGGTCGATTTCAGTTACCCAACCCAAAAGAGTGAATTATAAATATGGGGAAATTTCGAAAAGAAAAATTAAACTTTGAAGGAAGGTAAAGGAATTTTTTAATTCATTTTTTCTCTGAAAAAAAAAACTGTGTTGTGTGTTACGCCTTAAAAACAGATGGTTTTCTTTTACTAAACCCTTATTAATTGTCCTTCCCTAGCCCACTGTCAAGACAAATAATATCTTCGATATCAGTTTGATAATAATTTATCTATTCCGTGTAAATAATTGTTGTGCAATTTTAGAAATTCTCTTATTACACGCTACGTGATTATCAAAGATTGCATATCAAGTTGGCTTTGAAATTATATGTATTTTGCCGCTCCATTGAGATGTCAAATGTCAATCATGACATAATTCTCTGAAGTTTTTTCGACGTTTGTGTGTTTGCTGCCGCGTAGGCAACCAATAATTCAGGTAGAATAACAGATCTCTATCTACCCCACGGAAGCAACGAATTCTTATTAAAAATGTAATAAAAGATTTCCCAAACCAGTTTTCCGTACGATATTTTATAATCACCCTGTACAAAAATTCGGACCGTTTGTTTTTTAATTATCTTAAATACACCACGAAGTTAACCAAAGGCAAAAATTCTAAATTAGCACCTAAAAATAAAACAAGTGTAATCGACAAGTAAATTTGTTTTGTTCTTTTTTGCTGCTATTACGACCACACGTTAATGGGCCTACGTCAGAATACAGGTCAGCATAATGTAAACTAAATTATACTATTGCGAGAAGTCAAGTCAAGAAATTGCATAATTTATTTTGTATGGATTTTTTATTAACCGGTATGAGGAATAATTTGTATGCACCTGGGGCAAGATTGTGTACCGCGTATTTTTCGTGCTCGAATACTTGCAAGCATGGGCCCTAGGGGCTTTAAATAGAACGCTGCTCTCATGGTATAAAAAATATATTTAGGACACTTTATTTTTTAGCTTGATACTAAATCTAAATTCTAAATAAAACCTTATCGCCACTCTGTACCTACTAAATGCTTTTTGAAAACTTGGAAAACCTATCACAATATAATCCAGTGAAAATTAATCCTACAATTGTTCGCGTTTTAATTTATCTATTAATAAATAAAAATACAAAAAACTTTAAGAACTTTAAACACACAAAAATCGCTTAATAATGAAAGTTAACAAATAACAACCAAAGTTTAACCGTCGTAGATCCGCAATGTCAACGACATTATGATAAATTGTGCAGGATCCATGAACAGACTTCTTCAAACTTTTAACAAACTGATAACACCGCTACGACATCTCTCGTGTAAAGTGTATTACTTATGGATTTTACACTCTACCAGCTTAACATGAACGAAAATAAATCGTGTTATCTAAAAAAAAAAACGAGCGCTTTCACCAGAAAATTGGTACCCCAATCATACACACCCAGTTGGTAGTAATTTATTTATTAGTTATACCCTTGAAACAACTTTCAACTCTGTTGTTAAAACATATCCATGTGCAACCTTTTCCCCTTGAGCTTGGCCAAATCTTGTTTTATTTCTTCTTCTTTTTATAGGTGAGCGGTTCCATCATGAATACGGGCCATAGTGTAATATTTACAGTAGATAACGACACTCGCCATCACATAAATGTGACCGGGGGACCTCTTTCCTATAAATATCAATTTCAAGAAATCCATATTCACTATGGACTGCACGATCAGTTTGGGTCCGAACATTCAATAAACGGATACAACTTTCCTGCAGAGGTAAGTTCTTTTCCGACTCCGAAACGAATTCCAAAACACAAGCAACCCATAAATTTAATTGTAACTCACACAGTTTACGTTTAATTTCTAAACAAACTTCAGACTCGAGACCCATTCAATGCGGCAACTATTTTATCCGAAATGACAGTAAGTAATTGGTTTATCCTGAACAAGTTTGCTACACCGGGAGAAAGCATGCGTGACACATTGAATATTCACGTTATGCTTCGGAATTACAACGGTGGGAGAGCCTTATTTAGCACTGTTCACAGTTTTGTTGACATGTATTTCATTTTTAATCGTTTTTGGCTTAATTATCAGTACTGGAAACGACAAGAGTATATTGATGAAACGAGCTTAAAAAGTATGTGTTAATTACAAAGAGACAAACGAACATTTTTAATTGGCACTGAAAGCGGAAAAAATGATTACAACAATAATAAAACACAAAACATAGAATTAACGACCGAAAATACTGTAGATAGTGACCATTCTTCTATTTCTCTCTCCAGTTATTCAGCCGGAATAATCGCGTCCATTTATAGCGACGAACAATTCTTCCATAATAGCAGCTTCATCTTCTGTAATTTTAAACCGTCAGCAAAAATTTATATATAACTTTACGTGTAAATTGTTGAATCACTTGTAACGATTGCGTTTGTGCAGTGGCGGCGCTTTCAACTTCTGCATCCCCAAATCACCACTATTAAATTTCGCGCTGCACTCTAGATCCAAACTTAGCGAAAATAGCTCACGGTTAAACTTTTACAGGTAGTAATTAGCACCGTTGTTTTTGCACTGAAACTTTACAACCGCTGCACTGCAAGTAAAGTCATACTTGACACCACACAGCTTAGCGCAAACTTTGTCGTCGACATGTCATTCGTAAAATACAATCTCAAAGCGTACGACAAAAAACCGAATCCTTTTACGTGAAAAATGACCCCGACACAAATAAAAAACCCTTTTATCGACGGCTCGTAATCTTTGAATTTCCGGTCCCGACATGGCTACTTAATAAGTCAACATAATTTTTTTTCTTAATTTGACAGAGATTTTAGCGTGCTATGCAGGCAGTGGCGTAGCGAGCGTTTGAAGCCTTTGATGTTATAATTAGAAAGAGTACCGCAATAAAAATCGGGATTATTGTGGATGTTTATGACTTATAAGATTGGGTTCTTCTTTTTTGTCTCTAGCAGTAATATGGCAGTTTATGGCCCTGTCCTCGTCAGGAATGGTCCGAAAGAGGCTGAAAAAGGTCGGGCTAGTTCGATACAAAGAAAGGTATATTCGATTATTGGTCCGTATACAGTGGTATCCTTTTACGCTGCCTATTCATTTTTGTCTAGCTGTTCGGCCAAATCTATCATAAAAAATCTTTACTAGTTATTCTGTCATACTTATAACTGATTTGTTTTCTTTAAAACTAGCACAAGAATTTATGTAGAAAACGAAAAATTATAAAAATGATAAAAAAAAGAAACGAGTTAAAGTTTAATGATATTTGTACAGCTGATATATTAAACAGAATTTTACCTGCAGAACGTCAAATGTAGTGTCCTATATATTATTATGTTGTACAGATATTAAAAATCGACGTGGGAAAATTTCAACAACTTATTTCTTAATAACTGGAATTTACACGACTGACTACACAGCGATTATGTACAAAACAATTCCAGCGCAACTTCACTGTACTCTCGTGGACTAAATTGACTGAATAATAATCGTTCCCTAAGGTGGCCTCTATTTAATGGGATACTTCTCTTCTAGAAGTTCCGCAGTTCGGGTCTTTCTGGACTGTCTGTCCATTGCGACTTCGGCTTCCAGGTTTTTCTCCGGCCGCCGTCACCGACAATGAGTCATCATCGCCGTACATACTAGAACCCATAGGCGTCGCACCGGGGCGGCGTATGAGTTTCTTTCGTAACAATATAAAGTAGAATATTTAGATTCGAGCATTTTAGACTAAGGCTCAGTGATTGTTTTAAAATTCAGTTTCTAGACTAACTTTTCACTGTATATATCGGCAATTTTTGGAAAGTTTTCCGAGAAAGTGAACCCCAAAATAATTTCTGCTAGATGAAATCAACAAAAAGATGTCTGCAAGTACTTTTCAAAGTGCTCCGAAAAAGGTCAAAAATTTCATAAGGGTGTAGAAAAATTGGATTTTTAGCACAGTTGCCCAAAAATTACACAAAAATTCTAGGACATAGATCTTGACGAAAAACATAGCCGGTTGATGGTCTCAGCCTACGTTTTTCAAAATATTCGAATTCAAAATAAAATTTTTATATTTTATTTTTTGGCGATTCTAAACAAATGGTTGGCATTTACTGAATTTTCCCATTTTGATTTTTTTTACCTTTTTCTAAACATTTTTGAAAATTACTTAAAGACATTTTTTGTTGATTTCGATTTTCCGGTTGGAATATTCGAAGAAACATAGCAAAAAATATATATAAAAAAATTCTTTAAGAAATTTTCGAATATGCTCCGAAAAAGGTCAAAAATTTCATCAATCAGTCCAATGGTTTCAGAGATTTATCTGTCATATAAAATCAACAACAAACTACGGAAAACAGACACACAGAAAGACGCAATCGGGAGACCTATTTTTTCATATTCTACGGGTGATAAAACGTCGAGACAAAATGAATTATGTATTTATAACAAAAAAAAAGTGCTTAGATCCGTGTAAAAGTTAAATTACCAAGAGTCTAAAGAGCCTTTCCTTGCATCTTTAATGATCCTATTACTTCCATACATACATTTCGAATCTGCTTATTAGTTAAACAAAGAAAGCACACTTTTATGAAAAATCATATAATATATTTAAATTATTAATTAAGTATTTAATAATAATTTGACAATGTGGAATGATGCCATCTCAAAATTTTACAATAGTTAAATTTTGTGTAAATTTTATAAAATAACATCATCAACCACTTGTGGTTTATGAATCTGTGTTAAGTTTCTACCTTGGATATCAAGATTTTTGGAAAAAAAATACAATTTAACTTTAAAAATGCAAATTGAAATACTTTGAAATCTTGCAAGCGTTTTAAGATTTTAAGGTTATGGGAAGAATGGTAAATCGTTAATCAAAATTTATCCGTTAATGTCCCCCGCCAAGAATTAATGATGTGTTCTTAAGTTTTGTCAAATAAATGTTACTTAATAAATGTTAAAAAGTAGCATCGTTCTGCAATTATGGTTTATGAGTCCGTGTTGAATTTTTATCTTAGACATCGAGATTTTTGGAAAAAAATCAAAATTATAGGTACAACAATTTTTCAATTTCTCAAATTTTCAATCTCGCAATTTTTCGAATTTTCGAATTTTCGGCTATTCGATTTCAGTTTTAGTATTTTTCAGTGCTTTTATTTTTCGATTTTTCAATTTTAATATTGCAGTGTTGGGATTTTTTCAATTTTTCGATTCTTCAGCTTCTCGATACTTCAAAGTTTAGATTTCTCAATGTGTTCATTTTTCGATTTCTCAATTTTCCGATGTTTCAGTTTTACCATTTTTCACTTTTTCGACTTTTCAGATTTTAGATATTTTGATTGTTCTCAAATTTTCGTTTTTTTTTTTTTATTTAAACTTTTCCATTTTTAACTTCGATTTTAGTTTATTTCGATTTCTCAATTTTTCGCTTTGTCGATTTCTCAATCTTTTGATGTGTCGATTTCGAGTTTGTAAATTTTTCAATGTTTCGATTTTTCAATTTCTCGGGTTTTCAATCAAAAAATCAGGATATCTCAGGCACACTGAAATTGTTTGAATGTTTGACGTTAGATGCGAGGGAAGTTCTTTCTAAAAAACTTTAGACCAGTTTTTCTATTCAATTTTCTCTTTTCTATCGATTTTTAACAATCAATTAGATCCCTTGTCAATAATTGGTTTATTAGTGTCATAAGTGCTGCTTTTAAATTCCTACGTTTACAATCCTGTTAATGTGTTCTGCGTTTGTTTAGTTCTTAATAGAATAATAGAGGACCTATTTTTTATACAAACCAGTCAATCATTCCTAAATTTCGAAAAGGAGCTCCTGTAAGCAGATCTCATATTGTTGGTAAGTTCCTCGAATAATCTGATCATATTGACCAAGATACGTCAGCACCAAAAAACACTAAAACAGAGTGGTAAAGTTACTTTTAACGTGATTCAAAAATCAACAATAATAATATATACGCGCCTTCGGTCAGGAGTGGCGGTCGCTCGGGCACCAGCTCCCTCTCCGTGTGAAGGAGCGCCGGGGTTGCTCTCAAGCCGGAGACACGGATCTCAGGTGGTGAGCGCCCGCAAAAACAAGAGATTAAAATAAAACGCAAGGAAATATTTTACACAATAAATAGGGTTTATTCCCCTGCCACCAGCTGCACGGCTAAAATAATTAAACTTACGGCTAATATTAAATTAAATAATTACAAAGCAAAAACAAACAAGAAAAGTAATAACACGTCCGGCACGGTCGTTCTCTTCTGGACGGCGATTTCCTTCAAGACGGGCTCCTCCTGGACCTGGGGGCGGCGTCCTTGAACCTGAAAATCACGTGAGGACAGTACACGACGCGTGCACGACGGTTTCGACTTGTGACGGTGACGACAGAAAAAAACCGGTGACGCTGGTACGATTTCTCGCTCGGGGGCGACGATTCGAAAACCGGTGCTTAAACGGGCAGACGACCCAAAAAGGAACTTACGGTAGTCGGAGGGTAAAACTGCACTTTCCACTAAGAAAAAAAACTTTTCCCGCACACGCTCAAGCTTCAGGCAAGAATTCGCTTCGTAACAATATCAATAAAAAACTGATCGAAGCTTATTTCGACAGAAATTCCCTCGTCTATGAACTACAATAAAACATATCCAGCTTTAGCGAAAAAATTATAAAATTTGATTTAGCAGATTTTGTTATTTTGTAAGAACCCCTAGAAGGTTAAAATAACGATATGTATGTAATGTTAAACTAAATGTAAAAAAGCGTGCTTAACAGTA